TCGGGGGTGGGGGGTGAGGAGGGCCCGACCTCGGGCGGAACTGGATGGGAAGCGGCCGTGACCTCTGGCGGCAGCCCCGCCCCATGCCCGCCCGCCGAAGTCCGCTTACCAGCGCGACCCTGGCCCGGGGCCGCGGCGCGGAGCTGTGTAGGGCCACGCGCGGGGCGGGTGCATGAAGCGGCGCGAACGCGGAGGCCGCCGCCAGCCTGGGCGCCACCAGAGCCCTGACCACCGCCATGACTGCGCGGGGACAGTGGGTCGCAGGGACCAGCGACCGAGGAGGCCTGAGCGGAACGAGCGTGCTTCGCGCCTGCGCACAATGCGCCCGCCCCGGCCCAGACTCCCGTGAGGGCGCCGGTGGGCGGGGCCGCGCCTGCGCACCGTCCGCCCGCCCCGGCCCCTCTCCCGCGAGTGCGCTGGTTGTCGTCTGCGTGAGTCGACGCAGTAGCGTGTCCCGCCGCCCGGGGAGCTGCTGCTGCCCTGGGCTCGGGGTCCCGGACCCCGGGGCGGGAAGCACCCCCTTCCCAGCTGGGGCGGGCTGTGGCACCCGGGTCGGGCGCGGCTCCAGGCCGATAGAGAGTCAGACTCCAGACTTCGTTATTGTCAGCACTCTTGGGAGCAGCTCCTTGATGGCGAATAACCCACGTTCACATTTCAAGTCGTCTTTTCGTGGTGTTTGACTCGGGATCCGGATGGGAGCCCCCTCGAGGCTCCGCCTTCCGCATTTCCTGCAAGTTGAGCTTGGTTGGAAAGGCTCCCCGGGTCGGTTTGGGGCGAGGATAGCCACGGGGATGTCTGTTTTCTGCTGCAGGCGCGCGCTGCCTCGGATGCACAGAGTGTCTCCATGCGTTAAATCCTTGCTGAGTGGGGATAGCAGGACTCTTTCAGGTACTAGCTGGAATTCTCCCGTTAAAAATACCTAGTTGTTATCCTGGATTCAGGTCACGTGAGCCGCCTGGATGAGTTCTTTATTTTACTTTCCCTTAATCTATTATTTTGCAAACTAACAGGTGTCCAAGAGTTTATATGTAATATATATATTATATACATATGTATAAAACGTTTATTCATTTTTGAGAGACAACGTGTGAGTGGGGGAGGGGCAGAGAGAGCAAGAGAGACGGAGACAGAATCTGAAGCAGACTCCAGGCTTAGAGTAGCCAGCACAGAGCCTGACGCGGGGCTCGAACCCACGAACAGAGAGATCATGACCTGAGGTGAAGTTGGACTTAATCCACTGAGCCACCCAGGTGCCCCCAAGATAATTTAAGTGGTCACTTTTGGAAGCCACTGGAGCACTGCAGACATATTGTGCATTTCAACCCAAAGCTGCCACTGTCATTGATGTTTAAATTTTTCCATTTTTTAAGACTTAGGGTAAATCTCTGCAGAGAGATCTTCCTGGGAAACTACAATAATAAATTCAGGATATTCTAAAAGGACCAAAGATGAGCTTGGAACAATCATTGTCTTTATTCCTGAACCTTCAGCCGTGACCCCTGCATTTCTACAGATGGACCCAATTTCTTCTGGTCCCAAGGGAGCCATTCTCAATCCTTTCCCTGCAGCTGGGAACTCTCCCACGGGGATTCTGGCTTCTACATGGCTCCTGGGGGACTGGCGGGTGGGTGCGTTCATTTGTCCCCTCAGTGTCACCTCCAGAACAGGAGCTGATAAGAGCGACGGGGTCACGGGGATGATGCTAACATGCACTACGTCTCCATTTTGGGGAAGGGAGGGCTACGATGCAGATTCTGATTCAGTAGGGCTGGGAGCTGAGAGCCGCCTCCCTGCTGAGCGTGTAGGAGGCCGGCCACATCTCCAGGCCCTGCAGGGCCCCCACCTCCCACTCCTCTGTCCTCTCCAGGGTCTGCTCGGCTACACTTTGTCAAACATAACGCCGCCGGTTATTTTACAGGCAAAAATGGGTTTGTTGGAGACAGGAGCCCTACCACCAAGCTGAAACTACAGTCAAACCACGGGGCGGTCCAGTGAAGGCTCATTTATAAAGTTGGGGCTGGGGGGGGGGGGGGGGCGTTGTAAACAGTCCATTGGAGTAAACTGGGAGTTGGAAGTGTAGTGGATTCCCATTGGCTGGGCCATTGCCGGGGCAGGAGGAAAGTCTCTCCTGGTTGGGGTCTGCAGTGGACCGGTAGCCATGGGGCTGAGAGCCGCCACTGCTGGCCTCCCAACTGCACTCTAAACCAGTTCCCGCTATCAATGTTCGTAACTTCAACGTGCACATGTGAAACTTAGCAAGAAAGCAGAGGTGAGTTGGAAAGACTGGCTGGTTTTCCAGCCTCCGCGAGCGTGGGGAGAATTGGGGACACAAACACCCGGTGACACCTGCACATGGGCCCCCAAGGGTTACAGGGCCCCCAGGCGCTTGCCCCACCCGCACCTGACCCTGTAGGCCTCCAGGCAGCCTCAGGGAAGGGCTGCACCCAGGTCGGCCCTGACCCTGGTTTCCTGACCCTGGTGGCCCTCGCTACTGAGCCCCTGGGATAGGCCCCCAGCTGGGGAGAAGCTGGTTCTGTGCCCTGCTCAGTGAGGCTTTCAGGGGCCTTCCACGGAAGAGCAGCTCGTGTCACCCCCTGCGCCTGCGTGAGCTCCCCAAGGGAGCTGTCCAGTCTCAGCTCTGGGGCTGCTAGCGCCCCTCCAAGGTCAGAGTGCACAGACCCCCAAGGCAGGCAGCCCAGCCTGGGGGCCGCGAGGGTGATCCCGCTGCCCTGCTCCTCCACGCCCCCTGCACAAGGAGGCCAACAGACAGGGGACCCTATCCTCCTGCACGACCCAGGATATGTTATAAACATCCTCAATTCAGAGTTCAGATTTAATCCACTTTTATGTACAAAACCTCATCTTTTTTATCTCTAAATCTGTCGTCAAGAATGTATTAAAAATATAAATAATAGTCCTACAAAATTTGAGCCTATAAAAATGAACGCTTTTGCTTCTGTAAAAGGCGTTTTCAACAGGAGATGAGCAACGTTCGCTGTTACACCGCGGGCCCCGGGCCTGTGTGACAAGCCTGCGCTCTCGCTGCCGCTGCTGTCACGTCTGGTTCTCGTGGGAACAGGAGTCCCAGCGTGGGGACCTACGCAGCCCTCAGACGGCCCTCCCACTTGCTTCTGGGCCCAGGCCGCGTGGTTCCATCTCTCCGGGAGTCTTAACCAAAACACGTGGAATGTGGGGTGGCGAACGCGGCCGGCTCTACACCAGCTGTCTGTCCCCGTCTTCCTGTCCTTCCCCGAGCGGGTGCAGAGTGTCATCGTCGTCAGACGCATCCGCTTCCTCCTCGCTTCCCAGCGGCTCTGAGGGGCGCTTTATGCCCCGCTGCTTGGAAACTGCCAGAGCGTACTGGATGTTATAGCGGTTCCAGTCACAGCTGTGAAAAGCGCACAGGAGTCACGTCAGTAAGAGCAGCAGATTTTCTCTTCTATCCAGACTCTGGCTCACCCGGCACCCGCCTTCCCTGTGACCCTAAGAGAAACCAGCCAGGGACTACAGGAGCCCCCTACCTGCCCCTCCTAACTCGGTTTCTGAGCCACCCAGCCCTGCAGGAGTGGCAGCCTTCAAGGACCCGGCCGTAAGACCCACCTCTTCTGGTCCGCCCTCACCGCCCCTGCCCTTGCCCGGACCCCATCCCGATAGCTTCCCCAGCCCCACCAGACACGGAGGAAGGGGTGGGTGCAGAGCTTGAAGGCCTTTTAGAGAGCAGAGAGGGACGCTCCCAATCAGGTCAGTCCCCACGTTAACAAAATAAAGGGAAAAAATCACACCCTTGTCTCCATGTAGGAAGCCACCCAGTGAGAACGAGTTAAAGGTAAGGGACTATCGAGGTGGAATGCCCTGGTGGCTCAGTCACGGCTCTTGATCTCAGCTCAGGTCATAGGTCGTGGGATCGAGCCCTGCGTCCAGAGCCTGCTCGGGACGCTCTCTCCTCCTCCCTCTGCTGACGTGTGCATGTGCTCGCTCGCTCTCTCAAAATAAATGAACTTTAAAAACAAACTGACCCTCCCCGCCCCAAATCTAGGTTTGGCAACGTAACCAAAGTGTTGCTTCCCCAATCAATACACAAAAGCCAACAGCACCCTACACGTCAGCAGCATGGACGTCCAAGGAATGAAGCATTTATCACGCATCTACGTGAACGTGACGGAAGAATCCGTCTAACGAGAGGCACTTGGTCTCTGGGACTGAGCTCTGTCGAGTCACGGAAGCCTCAACAGAGAGAAGGCTCTTCTGAGCATGCGGCAGACTTTACCACAGACCCCTTTCGTCCCCTGGCGTGTTCCAGCGGGCGGCCAGGACACTAGAAGGAAGGGCTTGTTGTGGGCTGAAGACTGAGGAGGCAGTCGAGGACTGACACAGGCCCTGCCTCTATAGACACCGGGCAGTCACCAGCAAGGGCAGAGAACACGCTCTGGAAACAGGGCTGGGACACCTCAACACTGACCCAAAGACCGCAGGCCCCCTACGTGCCCAGTCGACGGGCCCAGGAAAGGCCAAGCGGCGGTGATCACGGCCGCTGTGACTCTGCTGAGCCTCAGGGCAGGGGGCAGAAGGGGCACGAACCACGAACGAACCGTCCGGCGACAGGACAGAGAACTCGTTTCGTTGGGGGATCGCTCGAAACTCCCGGCCACACCCGCAGCCCGCCAGCCCCGAGTCCCGCCGCGGGTGGCCCGTGCGCTCAGTTCACCAGGGAGGGAGGGAACACCTCCCAGTGTTTTGTCCCCAAAACAGACGACTCAGGGCAGCCCCCAGCGTGGAACCAGCTGGTGACGGGCCACCCCGCCCCACCCACTGACCCCACCAGCCACACGTACAGTTTGGAGACACTGTCCAAGTGCCGCTGGATGCTCTTCTGAAGGAACTGAACGGCTGGCAGCACCTTCCCTGCTCTGGAAAGGAGACTTGTCTCAGCGCACAGCACTCGCCGAGGCGCTAGCTGTGCCCTCTCGTGTGTGTGTGTGTGTGTGTGTGTGTGTGTGCGCGTGTGTGCGCGCGCGCGTGCGCACAAAGCTCCCCCTTTGACCTGCAGCAAAGCGCAGCTGAGCGACGGGAGACCGGGCGTCACAGCTGACGCACCCCTCACCTAGACTTCAGCTTCTGCCCGTGCACCAGGAGCAATTTCTGGGTCCATATGAGGTAGAATTCCAGGTGGCGAGACACTTCGAAGGAGGAAGCCAAGAACTCCAGCACTTTCTCCACGTACAGCTCAGGAAGCGAGGAGCTGACGACCTCGACTGCAGGGGGCGGAAACTGTACTCACTCTGCAAAGAA